ACCTGGTTCTATTAGATATTGTAACTTTTCATATAAAATATTAACTCCACTAATTAAACATATTCAGAAAGATAATCATTTTTTACATCATATTAATGGAGTGTATTTTTTCTTTTTTTATTATGGCAACATGGCCACTAGTTATAAACACTATGAAACAATAAACTAATTATAATAGTTTTCTTTCATAGCGACCATGCACATTTCTACTGGAATATTGTATTTTCTCAAATTTCTTATAAAATTATTATTAGATTTGCAACAGTTGGAAGATATTTCTTATTTTTTGCATTATGCCGAAAACATGGTTTCACTTTTGTATCAATTCTAAAATATAGGTATTGAAATAATACTGGCACTTTGGTCCAGTATAATGGTATTTAGCATCCTGCTCATGCAAATCCTAATCTAGAATGCTCTACTAATCTAAATGCAAACAACTATATTTTTAAAAGAAAGAAAATGCTATCAATTCTGTAAATTGAGAATAAATTGATCAATCTGTTTCACTATTTTACAACTGATAGATAAGTATGTAGTCAGCCCCTCCCCTCAGTTTTCAATATAATAATTATTTGGATATTTTTAAATAAATAGTTTTGCAGGTAATTTTAATGTAATACTCCATTTAATCCAAGCATATATTTTTTAAAACATGATGATGAAGTCTTCTTAGTTTAAACCTCAAGAAACTTAGAAAAATGTCTAATGAAGTAGTAATAAAATTCAGAAAGCAAAACAAGAAGAAATATACATCACGTTTATTGAATCATAAAACCAGGTTCTAACTTGAATTTTTATTATGTTTTGTCAAGTTCATTAAAAACGAAAAGTGAAAACATAAAATGATGTTAGCTGTTATTGTCCTGAGTTCTAATATTCCAGAAAATTCCATTACAGATTAAAAAAGGGGAAGATATATATAAGGTGTGGCTAGCAAGGCCAACTAGGTCATTTGGTCAAACCATCTATTTCATATATATGTAATAAACATTATTTACATGCATAACACAACTTACTTTTGTTTGAATTATCCTAAAAAGTCTACGGTACTTAATCCACTGTTAATATCTATGCAGAATAATGGTAGAATTTGTGAAATTCAAATTAAGGAAAGTTTACTGCAATATATTAGCAAGATTGTGCAATGGTACTTTCCACTGTGCTTATAAGTTTATGAATAACAAAAGAAAATGGTCAATAGTCCTTTTCTTTAGGCAAACAGCGTAAAGAAAAGAACTAGATGACAAACCTACTGAAACTAGGTCTAACCTGTTGTTTTGGCTAGACTTTACTTCTATAATTAGTGTGTATAATGATTTAAAAAATCTCATTTTTATACGAGAGCCACCATCTAGAGGAAGACATATATGATGCAACTGAATAACAGTCTTATCAATCTTATGCTGGTGGATATCATCATATTCACCCATGGGATCATCATCAAACAACTTTTGAAAAAGGGATAAATGTTCTCTAAATACATGCATAGGGGCAATCACTGAAAAAAATCTGCATCCATAAGAAACTAACAGTCATTGGAGAATACTTACTGTGTATCCTGATATTTGAACTACTCACATCTATGAAATGAAGTCAAGTCAATATTTGTTTGAAATTTATTTTGTCATTAATTTTTCAGTTACAAACTTTTTATTTCACATTTCAATAACTAGCAATAGATTGTAAGTTGTTTAATTCTTTGAAATATTGTTTTGATACAGCAGTACTTTTACTTAACATTCTGGCAATATACACTTCAGGTTCCTAGCATTTGACTGCCTCCAGTTACCTTAAACAATTTTAAAAAGTTTTTATTAATTTACATTATTATATTATAATATCAAATTATGATTAAGAATATCTACTGGTATACGGTCTTTAAATTTGTTCTATAACTTTCTTTTGCATTTAATTATTTCTGAATTGAAGTTAAATAGTTAAGTTTAAAACTATAATTTATAACTTTTTTAGATAGTTTAATCATCTTTGGTTGAGTCATCCCAAATATTGAAAATAATATTATTAAACAATATTATTTTCTTCTTTTAATTTTATTCTCAAATTTAAAATATTGCTACAATTTTGTAAAATAAACTTCCTATTTTGAATTCTCTTGAATCTTTTGAACTGAGTGAAAACATTTAAAAATTCCATAGAACAGACTAAGATGTCTTCATTGACATGACAAGAACGAAGACATTTTAGTCTTTTCTACAGAATCTTTTTGTGTGTAAATTCGTCAGTCATTTTTTTAAAAAGACATTTAAACACTCTTCTCACCACTGTCTTGAAAAAAATTAAATCACACTTACTTATTCTCTTTCCTTCTTTCTTGTTTAGTTTTATTTTTCTTTATTGTTGTTCTTATCAGAGCAGGATTAGGTCTCCTGGCTAGTTCCTATATTTAAAAGATATGATATCTTGGTTGTCCAAGGTCTTTCCCTCTTTTTGGTGATAGTTCATTTTTAGTTTTGGAATTTTGCTTATCTTCATTCTCTGATGATGACTCAACCAATTGTTTTTCTATTTCTTGATTTTAGAGACAATGTTAAGGACTTTCAGTCATTCTCTGATTTCTGAATTATTTTTGTCCATTGCAATGAGTTTTAGTAGTGGTCTTAAGAATTTTGTTTCAGATGCTTCTGATTTACTTTTATTTTATTTCATTAAATCTCACCGCAAAATACCTAAATTTTGCAGTAAAATTTTAATTAAATATGACTTTTGATGCTAGATGAAATGCAAATTTGACTACAAAACATATTTTGTTTTTGTTGGATTTAATTAGAATTGTTTTATTCCTTTAATATATTTCCTGTTTTATTCCTATCTTATGATTTCTATCTCTTTTCCACCCATTTTATAATAATGTTTCTATGCCATCTACTTTCATGCTCATGTTTTATTTAAATTATTCTTTGTTCTTATAATATAGTTGAGTTAGTTTTCTTATTCAGAGTTTTGTTAAATAGTTTGCTAAAGAGAGAACTCTTCCATATTCCCAATATTCTCTTCTATGTTTTACATTAGTGGGATTTCCATTAACAGATCACTGACAGTAGAGCAGACCATTTAAATGAGCATCAAAAATGTCAGTGGCATTTTTAGAGCAGCAGTTTGCATAAAGAACCATTCTAAAGATTACAGATAGATCCTTATAAAGCTTATGCTACATCATTGCCCAGAGTGCATGGCAATGGGGCTTTCTACACTATGGTATGTATTACATGGACATTTGGTGAAACTTCCATTTGTCAACTTTTTAATATGTGGACAGTTAAGGTTTCTTACAGAATCATAATAAACAGATTTTATTGGACATATGTTACCTTTTTAATATGTAATGGCTTCTCATATAAAATATACATGAACAAACAGCACAGACAGCATATACAATACATTCTCCTCATCTCAAGGAGATAAGACAAGAAGTGATTAGCAACCAGATTTTGGAAGTCACACAACCTTACTTTAAGGTGGTACGATACTTACTTGTTTTTATACTGTATGTCTCTTCAGAGAGATTATACTGTATGTCTCTTCAGAGTTTTTATACTGTATGTCTCTTCAGAGATATCTCTCATTGAGAAATTTTGGAGCAAATATGTTTGCATCTTTCTAGTAAAGTCTACTCTTATACATACTTTCCCATTTATTCCGAGAAATATAGTATAAAAGTGGTAAATATACTTTACTTATTCAATAGAATAAAATTACTGATTTAAGAATGGAAACCAATAAGTAAGTACAGTAAAATTATGTGATAATGAATTTTAATGTTTCCAAATGCATTACAAGTTACTAGAACTTGTAAGACATGAAAAAGTGAAGAGAATCAAGTACCATTAACAATCTCCCAAGTGATCACCTGGGAGATTGTTAATGGTTACTTTGGATAAGGGGATCAGACCAGATAAGAGAGCATGATGTATGGTACTGATACTGAGGATACTCTCTTAAATAGATTTGACTTTATTTATATTTTTAGGATATGTAGGAAACATTACTATTGTGAAAAGAAATGCAAAGACAAATATGAAAACTCTTAAGATATGCAATAAAACAATTCTAATTAAATACAAAAAAGGAAAAAATAAATAAATAAAAGTAAAAGAAAAACAGAACAGAAATTATTACATTTAATTTATTTTTAAGATAATAAGGAGAGAAAGTAAACTTAAAATATTATTAAAAATAAAGTAATTTTGAAGAAAAATAATTTTCTAAAACGAAATTTTTCTAATAGAGTATAAAATTTAACTATTCTTATATTGCTAAGCATTAATGTTTAAGAAAGAGCAAAGGTTAGTAATGCAACTGATTATATTGTTTAAGAATAAAAGGAAGGAAATTGATGATTACATTGTAAATTGTAATTTTAACATTATTTTTAAAAATAAAGTTAAATATATAAAGAAAAAAGCTCGTAAACAATTTAAATGTAGGACAACAATTATTAACATATAATTACATTAACTTCCATATTATGTTTTGTTAATTATAAGAAATTGTGTAAGTACATAAAATTATAGATTATGAATAGACAGTAGGTATATTGTTTATCATAAACGGTAATGCAAAATTATCGAAAATATGACAGCAGGATTATTAAGTAACAAGTCTAGTAACTAGAGCAGTTCTTTCTGGATAGCAGGAATAGCTTCTTAGTATACAGTAATCAACATTTAACTCCTGCTGTTATTTTGTAACTGATGCATATTTTTAAAATATGTACTTAGACTAAATCATTAAAATCAAAAAAATTTAGTGTATATTTGATATGCTAAATTTGAATCAGTAATAGTTTAGTTAATTAATTAAAAAAAACTGCTATTTTTCAAGTTGGTAACATGAAAATAGAAGTGATTTTTAGAATAATTAATATATTATAACATCATATTTGTTACATTTCTACATAGAACAAATCATATAAAAACTGATTTTTCTGTAAATATTTGTTATTTTTCCTGAAGACTATACTTTTTCTTTATTTTTAGGATCCATAAGAAGCACTGAAGAAGTCACAGAAAACCGTAATTGATTTTAAAATAAAAAAAATATTTTAAAATATGTTTCAATATAATTACTGAAAAATTGCACTTTTCATTTATTAAACAGATTTAGAATGTACGTGCGATAAGCGATATCTCTCTCACTATGAAGTCAAAGGCTGCTACCCCATTTATGACAGAAATAATTCTGCATGCCCTTCAAGATTTGAATGTTTAAACAATCAAACAGATAATACTGAAAGTAATTTCCTAATTTTAGTTTCTAATTGTTGTTAATAGTAAATATCGATAAGTGTAATCTTAACAAATAAAAACAAATTATTTTATAGTGTGTGTATATAAAGGACAATATTATAGTGTTGGATCCAGCATAAACACAGGCAACAATTGTCAAAAATGCCAATGTGTTAGGAATTCTGAAAGTAAAGCTTATATTGCATGCGCAGGCGTGGAATGTCCTCACAATTTCCGTCGACCTCCTATCAGTAAGGGATGCCGCTTGGTTTATGAAGAAAATCATTGCTGTCCCACCAAAACTGAATGTGGTATGTTTTATATCATTGTATACATTTCAAATTACAGATGTGATTTATAATCAAATTCTTGTTCATTTTCAGATCTTGAAAAATGTAAGTATTATAATTAATTCATTTTTATCTATCAGCTTATTTTCTAGTATCAACTAAATTTCACATCTGTTCTTTTAAGTACCAAAATGTGAATTGAATAATAAAACGTATTATTTGGGAGAACATATATATCCAGAAGAAGATCCGTGCCTAATCTGTCTCTGTGACAAAGATTGGAAAGGACTCAAAAGTAAGAGTTGCCGCAAGATAGATTGTATTTTTGAAAGAAAATTTGATCTTTTGAAGAGAGGATGTATACCAGTATATCATGAGAAAACATGCTGTCCAATTGAATACTATTGCCGTAAGTCTACGATATTTTCTTAGAAACTAAACTTTATCTAAATTAATTTTATTGTTTAATAAAATATATATATTCAACAGCCGAAACTCAAGAATCAGCTCCTAAAAATGAATCTGAAATTGAGGAAAAATGTAAGTTAATACCAATTACAATAAGTTAATTTTTTCAACTAATTCATAACATTAATTTTTGAAACTATTTTTCTTAAAAATAGCTGAAAATGAATGTTTTTTTGATGGTAAAAGATACAAGATAGGGGAGAAATTAAATTATAAACAAGAATTGAATTGTACCACTTGTACTTGCTGCACGCCACCTGATTTTACTTGCATACATCAGTCTTGTCCACCTCCTCCTAATAATGATTATGAAAATTGTAAAGCAAACTACAAACAGGGTATTTGTTGTCCAGAATATGACTGTAAACCTAAACACGTTGCTGAAGAATTAATTTTAGGTAAGTGTTAATATTGTCATTAAAGTTTATACATTATTTTGTAATATTTGCTTTTATCAATTTCTAGGCGATCAAAGTATAATGGAAGAATCCGTAAAAATTGGTCCTCCTCCAAGTGAAAATCCTTGCAATGTAAGTACTTATTATATTTTTAGTTTGTTTCATTTTTAATCATTACTTCTGAAGCAATCATTGCTGTGAAAATTGTTTTAGGAAATGGAATGTGCAGATGGAAAACATTGTCAATTAAGACAAGTAAAATGTGACAGATCATTTTGTCCTCTTATTCCAACATGTAAGTTATTTTGTATATATTCTATTACATCTATGTAAAAATTAACACATCATCTCATCTGTTTCATTCACAACTTGGAGTAAATAGCAATGATAATACATTTTTATTTAAATTAAAAAAAAATCAAACAATTAAATTATTATTAAACACACATTAATGCCCATATCAAATTATTCACCCAAAATACCTGCTTTTCCAGGTTTACAATTTAATATGGGCATTAATTAATGTATGAATCCAAAGAACCCATTTTCAGGGACCTTGAATAAAAAAAACACTCATTAAAAAATAATACTCCTACATTATCCCTACATAATCTTCCCTTTCTCTTATCATATGTGTAGAATTGGATGATTGGGAAACTATCAGTTATTATTGGGCTTTAATTTTCAAATTGCAGAGCTATAAATTCCCACTGTCTGTCCTTCACTTAGTCTCAAGAAGAGCCAGATAGATGAAAATTGAGACCAGATTTGCAAAGCTTAGGTACAAGAGGCCCCAATTAATTTTTAAATTAAAATATGATTGTCACAATGCTGGGCTGCAATTTTTAATGTCAACAACAAATAGTCCTTATTAACCTGGCATGAATGAGGTGAGAAATTGTCACACCAGCTATGAGGTGGGTAGGAGATACCCGAAACTTTGAAGAATTTTTTATACTATAATTGTGTAAAAAGTATTTTTTCACTTGGGATAATAAAAATAGTATCTATTCAACAAGATGAGTAAATAAAATATTATGTTTAAGATTGACAAGCATTTTTTTTAATTGAAATAACAAAGTGTCTATATTTTCTTTGAAAAACTACAAGTTTTGGTAGTTTAACATTTTTTCGTATAAAATTCTAACAAAATTACAACTTCTTTGGTTAATCAACATAACTATAGTATCTTTCAATTATAAAAATAGAAAAAAACTAAAAGTTCTTATGAGATCAATTTGCACAGCACCAACATTACACCTACAAATCAACACAATCTCCACACATAAAAATCGCATGCTTCATACATATTGGCTTCTCACACTTCGAACAGCAATGTTTTGTTTTCCTATCTGTTTTT